AGGCCCCCCCCTGCGGGGCGGAGTGACATGCATCAGTTGCCGCGGTGGGCGCGCAGGAACCCCCTTGCAGGGGGGAGTGGCATACAAGGACCCCTTGCAGGGAGAGGAGGAGACGTTCTGCACCAGCCGCTGCGGTCACGCAGGGACCCTAGCAAGCGGATGGCGTGCAGTCACACAGCCCCCGGGGTGGGACCTCGGCGGGAAGGCACACTGTTGCATGGCTAATTCCCTTATGGCCTCTGAGCTCTTCCCCTAGTTGGGGCGGCGCTGCCGGGATCACGTTGCAGCCCTGGAGGCGCATCTCCATGGTCTCCTGAGCCGCGAGTAAAGAGGGCCAGGCGGGTCTTAGTCCTGCTGGCAGCTCGGGGCCTGTGTGAAGCCATGTGGTTTGAGTGGAGGGAAGAGGCACAGGGTTGTCCCCTCATTGAGTGGTGCTGTACCAGATGGGTGAAGGAATGGACCTCTCCCCCTTGCCTGCAGCCCTGCTCATCTTCTCTTCTCTCTTACAGGTCTTCCTGCTCTGCCCCCATCTCACCTGCCACCCTTGCCAGCAGGGACTGTGCTCCCCACCTGCCATACTCTGGCCCCTTTTCCCATCGGGCTGTGGCCTGCCTGAGCCCACACCTGCCCCACCATGTCAATGCTGGCAGCTTTGACCCTGGACATGGAGAAGACCCTGCTCCCAGCTAGCACCCTCTCCTGGAGGGCCGAGTTCCTTAAGATCCCCGGCCACTATGAGCCCCTGGCAGGGGCCACGGATGGGCACTATGCCCATGGCACAGAGGCAATGGTGTTGGCAGGTACAGTTCTGGCAGGAGAGGGAATACCGGGGGGGAGAAACAGATGGGGGGGGGGGATACCTGGTTGGGCTGCTTACACGAAGTATTTTGACTGCCTCAGAAGGGCATCAGAACCCTCCCCCTTATGCCAGGCTGGGAGACCCCTGCCTTCCCTGGTGATGCTGAAGGGTTAGGATGTTTGCTCAGAGGGCACTGGGCTCCCAGCCAAGGCCAGGTCAGAGAAGGCAAGTTGTAAATAAAGCTACTTTAGGCCATGTCTTAAAGGGCTTGGCTGGGCCACATACCTGCCTTGCAGTCCTTCCTTCTCCAGCCCAGCTGCAGGTGGATCTCCTGGAGTGGGGGGAGGGCTCTGCACTGCTCTTTTCCTGTCACTGCTCCCCCATGCAGCCTGTGAACCTGCTCTCTCCACACAGGCGATGGCTTCTCAGACTGGATGACGGAGAGGGTGGACTTCTCCTCTCTCCTGATGGAGTCGGGGGACCCATCGCTGCCCTCGCCCCCACTGCCTGACCTGGAGGCCATGGCTTCCCTCCTGAAGAAGGAGCTGGAGCAGATGGAAGACTACTTTCTAGAGGAGTCACTGTCCCCAGGTCTGGGCCTGGACCAGGTGGCCCCCAGCACACCACCTTCACACCAACCTGCATTCCACTTCCCTTTTGGAGATGGTAGTGGGCCAGCAGGGTCCTTCCCACACTTTGGCTCTGACAGCCCCACACCACTGCAGACCCTCGATTCAGGCTGCCTTGAGCTCCTCAACCTGTATGGTACTGGGGTGCCTAGTGGGGAGTGCCCTGGCCAGGGCCGGCTGGAGGAGTATATTGGTAGCCCACCAGCTGCCAAGCGCAGCAGGCCAAACCCCTTGGAGCAGTCAGCAGTCCTGCCCCAGCAAAAGGGGGACCGTAAGCAAAAGAAGCGGGATCAGAACAAGACAGCAGCACTACGGTACCGGCAGCGGAAGCGGGCTGAGTATGAGGCACTAGATGATGAGTGCCAGGGTTTGGAGGCCAGGAATCGTGAGCTTAAAGAGAAGGCAGACTCTATTGAGCGTGAGATCCAGTATGTCAAAGACCTGCTCATTGAGGTCTACAAGGCCAGGAGCCAGAGGCTCCGTGCTAGCTAGCTTGAGCAGGGAGATAGTCTAGACTCCACCCCAGATCCAGAGTAGGGCACTGGATCTGAGGGGGAGGGACTCTGACAGATGTGGATCTTAAGATCTGGGCTCCAGACTCAGCACAACACCCCCTAATGCAGTAGAAGCAGGGTACTGGGGACAATGAGCTAGACAATGCTCTGAGTGGGTCAGAGAAACAGTGGCTGGGCAGAGGAAAGGTTGTGACAGGAGAGGGAGACCAGGGTGCTAGGTGATGTTCTGGAGAATGGACATGCCTCTAGGGAGGGATGTTGGGGAAGGGGACAAGAGTGGAACAAAGGCAGGAGAAGGGTGTAGCTATGGCACAGCAGGGGTGTGTAAAAGGTAGTGGGGAGGTGCTGGGTGAAGTGAAAGTGCATGTGGGACAGAGGCAGAGCCATATAAACTTTTTTTATAGATGTTTCCTGTAGCTTCCTTTATAATGCATAAAAGCAAATAAAGGCTAATTCCTACATTCAGGCTGCGCAATGTGTTTTCTGGTACACCTTCTTTCCCCTGTGTTAGGTCTCCAACTGCACTCACCTCTCAGGGCCATAGACTTTCCCACCCTGCTTCTGCCAGCACTGCTAGAAGCAAAGCTGCATCTCCTCTCCCCACTGCATTACATAGCTGATAGTGTCTACAGCTGGCTTTCTGTGCACACAGACTGGGAGCTAAGAAGGAAATGAAGGTTTATTGTACACCACAATGCTCATTACAACTGAACAGATGCCTCAGGCTAATATCTCCCTTGCTTCAGGGCTCAGTGCACCTGGGGCAGGAAAGCAAGAACTCTAGGCCTTGGGCCAGGTACAGAGGAGGCAGCAGGAAGGCTCTGGCACACACATTCATCCATGTGCTGGCAATCACAAGGATCTAATCCATCCTGCTTCCTACCCTCCCTTGGGAAACTCACACGAGCACTAGTAGAAGTCCTCATCCTCAGTCTTCTCCACTGACTGTTGGTTCTGAATCTGCTGCTGCAGTTTGTAGAGTTCAGCCACCTGCAGTCAAGAAAGAGGGATGGAAGCTCCTAGCACTACAAAAATCAATTCTGCTCCATCTGCTGCCAACTGCATGGCTCTGAGGCACCTACATATAGGGTCTTGGAACTGTGCCCAGACCTAACCCACAGAGGCACTGCTGTTGCTGCCCCCGCCTATTGGGAAGATGCTCATCTGGAACTACCCATCGACAAACCAGAGCTCAGCTAGGACTGCTGCCCCCCAGAGATGAGGCCAGTAACCTTAACACTGTCCCCACGGTAAGTTGAGAGGTTTGCTCTGGCATTGGGAGGGAAAAGCTCAACACTAGCAGAGCAGTCTGGCTGTTGAATTTAGCGAAGATGCTGGGCTCAGTACCCTGACTGGGCTGAAATGCTATGAGGGCATCAGCAAAGAATCTTGGCAAGAGCCCCTTAGTGCCATGTTGAGTGTTAGGCCCATCAGTTTGAGGGGTTCATACCCCTTAAGGCATCCCATGCTGGTGCTTGTGACAGTACCCCTAGCAGTGTCAACACTGCACAGTGAGCAATTTCTGCTGGAGGTCATCCAGGGTGCTGGTTACGCCCCTGGGCAGAGGTCTCTAGCCCCAGCAGGACAGTAGCCCCATGTCTAAGCTGAGGAGAGAGGAAGGCACATTGTAGAATTAAGCCACTTAATCCAACCCTTATGCCATGTGCTACCTGGGAGCTGGTGGTGGCTTCCTCAGGCTTCTTGTCATCACGCACACGCAGGAACCGGGGAAAGCGCAGGGAGATGCCCTTCTCCTCATCCACCTGGGGGTTGAAAGGGTGATTCCTAACCTGTGACAGGAATACTAGAGCCCAGGCTCGGGTGCTGAGCACTGGCCAGGCTGGCAGCTTCCTGCACTCCAGCACTGCTGATGAGGGAATCTCTTCGTACGATGCAGGGATAGGAAGTCCCAGATGGCCCCATACTGCAGGGTGATGCTGTTCCTGCTCAGGCCCCTCCCACTGCAGGCCCCGTCCCAGACTCACCAGGCCTATGGCTGCCTTGTGCACAGGTGAGATGGACAGGTCAGCACACTTCACTTCCCACACCTGCACTGCTGCCAGCCAATGGTTGGGCTCAATGCTGCTGTCCCAGCGGTAATAGGGCCGTGGTTTCTCCAGCACATGGTCCTGCAAGTGAGAAGGAAAGAATTACTGGCCCAGTTTTCCAGCGATGCACATCTAACTCCATGCATGCTCCAGCCACCAGCTATACAATGAGACCTTGGGTCCCAAGAAGCAAGATTCCTGGGGTTTAACCCCAACTCTAGGAGGGGAGTGGGATTTGATGGCTAAAGCAAGGGGGCTGGGAGTCAGGACTCTTTGGTTCCAGCCAGGGCTCTGCAGCGACTAGTTGAGTGTCTCTGGACCAGGTTCTCACTGGCAAGAGAACTACCTGAGGCCTAGGGTACATGGGCGCTCTGGTAGGTTCTGAGGATAGATACAATGAGCTGTGTTACCTCCAGCCAACAGCAGGGAGTTAGAGTAGCAGGCTCAGGGCAGGGACCATAGAGGGCAATGCATAAGTTTCTTCACATTTTTTAGCAGCTGGGCTGCACAAACAATGGAGGAGTTCCTTAAGAATAGCCATGCAAGCTGGATGTGGGGGTAAAACCTCCTACCTTCAGAAAGCTGTAATGTTTCTCCAGGCTCTCCTCTGTGAAACCAGTCCCAAGCTGATGGTGATAGCAGGGCATTACTGTTACAAACCTACCCAGCAATCTAGGCTGCTCATCCCTTACACCAGTCCACTGCATACAACCCTCCCCACTGCCTCCCTGCACCCTCCTCCTCCTCCACCACCCCCTTATACCCATTTCCCGGACATGCTTGTGGGCAGTGGCAGAAATAAGCAGATGTCCCCTCCCCTTCCCCAAGCCTGCTTGCACCACCCCTCTGCACTAGGGATGTAAAGTCCCATTTAATTAGTTAACCAGTTTAACCAATTAACTGATGAAATAGGTGGGATGTACGGGGGTGCTCCAGCCCAGTTGGGCTGGAGCAGCCTACCGCCACTGGCCTGGAGTGGATGCCACTCCAGCCCAGCTGCTTCTGGCCCTATGTGGGGTCAGCAGAGCTGGCAGCCCTGCATGGGGTCCTAGTGGGACTGCTCCCTGGGATGCATTACCCGGTAAGCATCACCCTTTAAGTGATAACCAGATACCTGTTAACATCTCTACCCTGCATAATGTCAGCACAGTTAACATTCTTACCCTGTCCCCCAAACTTTCTTATCCACACTACTTCCCCCTTGCACATGTCTCCCAGATCTGCTCACCACTGCCACTGTCTCCAGTATGCACCTACTTGTGAACAGCCATTCCTTCTCAGTATGCTAAGGATATTAAGGACTAGTTGATTCCCACCGCCCTTGCTGCCTCTATCAGATAGAAGCAGCAAAGGGATGGGAAGAAGGGGTACTTCAAAGTGGCAGTGCCTTACTGCTGAACTGGTGATCAGCTGTGCAGCACTGCCTCTTTGAATGCGGGTTCAGCATTTCAAACGGGCAACCGATGTACAGCTGATGCCCGGCTCAGCTGTGCGGCGGCTGTCCCTTTAAAATGACGTCTCTCTGTGGAGCCTGGGGTCAGCTGGGGACTCCCCAGCTTTTCCCAGGCTCTGCATGGCATTTCAGTGGAACCTGGGATCCGCTGTGGAGTCCCCAAGTCCTCAGCTGATCCCGGGCTCTGTGCAGCATGCAGCGCAGCATGGAGACCGGGATCATCAAGGGACTCTGACTCCTCTGGTGACCCTGGGCTCTATAGCTTTGAAATGCACTGGGGACTCTTGTACATTTCAAAGCAGGCACACAGCATGCAGCCTGGAGTTAGTGTAGCTTCCTGCTGGCCCCGGGCTGCAGGAAGAGTTCCACATTCCTCCTTTGAAATGTACAAGAGCCCTTGCTGGGTCTCTTGTACATTTCAAAGGAGGAATGTGGAAGTGTCTGTCGACTAGTTGAATAGTCGATGGAAATTCCATTGACTACTCAACTAATCAATTAACCACAATTTAACATCCTTAATGTTCACTTGCACCTGCTGCATAATCCCCACGAAGCCCACTAATTCCCAGCCATCAGCCTCATCGCCTCACCACCCTCCCCAGGCATCTCCCTGCCAGCACACACATGCTCATCCTTACTTTTCCAGGTATACCCATTTCCTCCCATTCTTGACTTGCTGCCCCCCACCCTCCAATAGCCAGGGGAGTTCTCTCCCCTCTGGCCTGTTCCACTGCCCTCCTACAAATCTAAGACAGGTAGCTAAGGGGAAACATTGGAGTCAACCCCCCCCCCACCTGCCTCTACCCGCCAACATCCCCCCCACAACCCAGGAAGGGAGCTGCTTTCTTTCCCCTGCTCCGGCCCATGAGCAGCGGAAAGCAGAGCTACTCTGCACTCATCCAGAGTGCTTATTGTATCCCAAATCACAGCCATGGGGCACTGAACAGCATGGGAGCTTGAGATTGACAGGAAGCCCAATTTCCAAGGGACCCTTTGGCAATCCCAGCTTGAAAGGCTCCCTGCATCAACCTGGGCCCCAAACCTGTGCAAAGAGCACATGCTCCCTACCTTACAGATGCTCTGGTACTCCTCAGTCTCCTCGTCATAGCACGCCAGCAGAAAGCCACCATACATGCCTGCTCGCTTGCCCTTGCCCAGATAGGCACCAATCACTACCAAGTCCAGTGTGTCACCAACACCTTCCAGGTAATCCTTCTTCAGCTGCAATAGGAGAACCAGCCTCAGCAACAGCATGTATGGGACACAGGTCTCTCTCTTCTAAGTGTTGACAGCTTCAATCCAGCCACAGACCAAGGGGACTAGCTGGTTGAGAGGGGTGAGGACTCGGACCCAGGCTCTCTCTCTCCTGTAGGGGGCAGCAGCATGATGCAAAGCCACTTCTATGCATGATGGTTTACTGTCCCCATATTATAGGGTAGGGAGCACCAGCTGGTAGGTGTCCCTCAGCAAATAAAATTGAAGAAGGCAGCATGTGGATCTCTCAGTTGATGCCAACCAGTGTCCCCAGAACTAGGCATCTTCTCCCTGACGTAACTGTCCTAGATTGGGGGGGGAGGAAACTTTTGATGGGGGCCACTTACCCAGGCAGTTCCCAGCCAGAGCAGTGGGCCCTCAGGCAGGCTCCCTGTCTGCTGCAGCCTCAAGCCACTAGAAGTGGCTGGCTGCTCCATGTGCCTTGTTCTGGCCAAAGGGAGCTAAGAGAGAATGCTGGAGGGTGAGGGAGGCAGCATCAGAAGTCTCCCTCCGCCAGGGACACAGAGAGGCATATAGAGTGGCCAGCTTCTTTGAGCACCTTGGAGCTGGTCCCTGGTGGGGTGGCTACAGGCCGGATTCAAAGGCTTGGTGGGCTGCATCTCGCCAGTCCCTGTCCTAGATGGATGTGCTTTGACACTGGGTAGAATCCTGGGGCCCAGAGTATGGTTAGCTGTCTCTTCTCCACTACTCATCCCTCCTTTTCCCATCTGAAACACATGTCTCCTTCCCAGTGTCAGACACACTGGTGGGGTAGCAACAGAGGTGTAGTGGCTGAGTGGCTACGGTGCTCAACTAATATTCCTGAAGGTGTGAGTTACACTCAATCTCGACTTGAAAGGCCCCTCCAGTTCACCCAACTGCCTGATATATTGGGTTAGGGTTGTTTAATGTGTGGACATAATGCTGGTCACATCACTCCTGTGTGTACCACTGGACATATCTTAATTGCATCAACCTGATAAGCCCTTTTTCACCTGCACTGGGGGAGGGGTGTGTCAATGCCTGGAAGGACAGCACATTCAGTCTAGTGACTCCTGAGATTGATAAACTCAGCAAGGAAGCTATGCACAGACCCCAGGGCAGGAGACCAGGAGAGATAAGTGTGGGCTTTGGAATAAACTTGTCTCTTGCTCTCTCTGGGGAGCTGACTATGGAAGAGATGGCCTGAAAATGTTCACTACAGCTTGGCTGGACTTTGGTCTGATCAGAACAGGCTCTGCTTGAGCCTTCCTCTCTCTGTGTTACACTAAGAACTTCATATGCTGCATGCCACTGACTTCACTACCAGCAAAGTGGGACATGTGATCCTCACTCCACCAGCAAGGGCTTTCTTACCTTCAGCCATTTGTGGGATCTTTTGGCAATCTCGTAAGTGGCATCCACATCCAGCGTCTTGACCATGAGGCCCTCGCAGGAGTCTGCAAGAGAGAGGCTGTTTAGCAAGGCCTGGAAGGCAGGGTGGAGAGTTCCATCTCCACTCACCTATTGCCAGTGCTTAATCCAGTCAGGGCAGTGCACCCAAGCTCCTCCAGCTCACCCTTGATGGACTGGTCAAGAAATTCAGAGATCTCATCCATGCTGCATGTGTCCATGGAGGTGGCAAATAAGAACTCCCCCTCCATCTCCACAAAAGACTCATGCAGCAGCTGACGGCGCTTGGAGAACGGCTCCTTCACCAGGGACTGCAGGGACAGAGGGGCACTGTGCTGAGTCACAGGCAAATGAAGGGACAGAATAGATGGGGCAGATAGCATTTGGAAGGCTGCAGTGAGGTACAGATGGCAGGGATGAGGCCAACAGGGGGACAAGGTGAACAGGCAGGACACTCACCTCTCCATTGAGGTACAGCATGTCAAAGGCGTACAGACACACCTGTACTTTGATCTCAGCAGCTTCCACGTCCTGAGGAGATAGACAGCAGCAGGGGTTACTGCCCTACTCTGTCCCTCCCTGTGAGCCCTACTCTCTTCCACACACCACCCACACTGTGCCACCAGTCCTGCTTTCTTTCCCATCTTGCTGGCTTACCTAGGGACCAGCCCATGCCCATCTTCACAGGAACTGTCCCCTCACCTTTCGCTTCCGTGTGGTAAGGACCTGGAAGGGTTGAATCTGCCTCTTCTCAGCATCCCAGGCCACAGCCTCAGCGTCCAGGATACATGACCGCACATTGCCCTTCTTCACCTGCACACGGGGATGTCAATGTGTAGAAGGACAGAGGGCTGGCTCATAGTGCCAAAAGCACTGCAGCCCCAGCCTGTATTCCTGTTCCACATCATTCTGTTTCCTGCTGCTTGGGAGAACACCCACTATTGAAGTGTTCCTTCTTGTTGGCACCTCCCAGCCACTGAATGTCCCCACTCCAATCCCCCTTACCTTGGGGATGCGGCTGATGATGTCCGGGTATTTGGAGGTATTGTCCTCCTGGTTGCGGCTGTAGATGTGCACATCTCCATTCTCCAGGATGTGGATCTGGGAACAGAAAGCAGCACAATGAGAGGTAGTGGAGGCTGCAGGGGGCAGTGCATCTCCCCATGACTTAGTGTGACATCCTTACCTGGGCTCGCTCTCCATCATACTTGTACTCGCAGGTGAAGGCAGCCTCCTCAAATCGCTTCAGCACCTCCCCAATACCCTTGGTGGGCTGGGCCAGCATGGGTTTCAGCGGGATCCCTGGAGAGACCATGCACTGGAGCATCAGGATCATCAGTTCACGGATGGTAGCAGCATCCAGGGGCCATGGCCTAAAGTCACTGCACACACCGGGCATTGCCCTGCAGCACAGGCTGCCTCACCCCATCCCACTATGCCAGGTAAGCCTTCCACACACACCACACCAGGCCCTGCCCCACAGACCAGTGCTTCCTCACAGCCAAATACTAGGTACTGCCCCACAACAGAGATTCACTTGACCTCCATGCTAACTGCATGCTGTGCCAGGGCCATCCCTACAGGAGGATGGGGTTTGGGACAATCCCCCCTATGCCCATGCACAGAGCCCAGAGCAAACCCTTCCGCCCCTGCTCCACCCTTCCCCAAATCCTGTCCCTGCTTCCTTACCTGAAACCCCCTCCCCTGAGCAATGAGAGACCTGGCATGGGACCTGCCCTCCGCCACACTCACCATGGCAGAAGGAGTAAGAGTGAGCTGGAAGTCTGCTCTACTCCACTATCTTCTCCCAGTCTACTGTGCTCTGCTTCTCCGCAGCAGTGGGAAGTGGAGTGCCCTGAGGCCAGGACACTCTGCTTCCTGCTGCTGCAGTAAAGCAGAACACAGGAATCTTGGAGAGGGCATCAGGGTGGAGCAGAGCAGGCTTCCAGATCACTCTGACTCCAACTGAGATGGGGTGACCCCTGCTGTCGCCCTTCACCAAGGCCCCTGGTAATGCCCCACGCCACACCCATGTTGAGGCAGCTGCCATGGAGTCTGTGGCAACTGCCCCAAACTGTTCAGAGCGCACACTGACTTTGCTCCAGAGTACAATTGAAACAGGCCTATTACACACAGGGAGGGGTGTAGGAGGGAGGAGATGGTTTATGGAGTGCAGGGGACATGCAGGTGCAGGAGGTGCTAGGTGGGGGCTTGTGACGCCAGGGAGCAGATGGTACCTGGGGTGATCTTGCAGTGCTGTGGCAGGCTCTGCACTCCATGCTCCAGCAGGACAGGCACTATGATGTCATAGTTAGGCAGCTCACTGAAACACAAAACACAGATGAGGTCTGCTGCCAGTCTCCAATGGACTCATTCCCTGCCCTTTGCCCCACTGGGAAGCACCAGGACCTTGCACAGCCCCAGTCTACAGCAGCTGGGATAACAGAGCTCTCTAGCTGGCTCAATGCTGGTGCTTCTGAAACAACTTCCCATATCTCACCTACCACCTCAATGCTGTACTTGGACATCAATGGAACAGCCCAGGGAAGCCATTCTGGAACAAGGCCACCAGGCCCAGGCACCTTTGAAGACTCCCACTTTGTAGCTCTCTCTCTTGGAGCATCACAGAGAATGCACCGTACAGCCAGCATCAGCTGGAGCTGTTAAGGCTACGGACACAGTGTATTCCCTATCTGACATGAGGAGCAGTGTTACCTGTAAGCTGGGCACTTAGATGGCTGCCCAGAAGAAATTCAAATGCGCCCAGCTGATTAGCAGAGTGGCCCACAGCTGGCAGCATATATTTCTATTGGTGCTGCACATCTGCACATGCCTTGGTGCACATAAAATTTATTTCGCTCATGGACAGAAAAAAAAATCAGAGGGAACATTGGCAAGAAGCATTCTCTGTGATCAGCAGGGCATCCATACTGTGCCTTCCAGAAAGGGGACAGAAACTGCTACACAGAGCCATTCACATGTCACTACCACACTGGGATCCAGGTGTGATTGTCATTCGGGAGAGGCCTTTTTTCTCTACCCAGCTGCCAAGCTCAGTGTGGTGTAGAGCAAGGTGAGAAAGCTAGCTCTTGGGAATCAGGCTAGCTGGGGACCAATTTATCTATGCTCTTCCTAAGAGCCAGGTAGCATTCTTGAGTGCAGATAATATTGCATGCAGAAAGAAAGAGCAAACAAAAGAAAGTGAGTAGTGGAAACCATGTTTGTTTGCGGAAGCAACTATTCCAAATGCAAAGGCATCCAAGGTCATCTGCACCTTAAGGAAACACTTTTCAGAAGTACTGCATGGCACTCAAACCAGACAGGTAACAAATACAAACTACAAGCTGCAAGGCAGATACAGGGAAGAAGCTCCTAGGAGAGGTGGCTACAGAGCAGGACTCACTGTGGGGTTTCTTTAAATGGATCAAGTGAGGTTGCAGTTAGTAACACAGAAGAGAATGAACACACAGAAGCACTGGAACAGAGCATAAATCCACTCACTGTCAAGAAGTTAAGTCCACAACAGAGTGCATTTCACAAAGCAGGCTTGCAATGACCCCTTTAGCAAAGCAACACTGGTCACCCTACACAAGGACAGACACACTGGGAGATGGTTAAAGAGCCATAGGACAGAGCAGTGTGCACATACAGATGATCAAAGTGGTGCATGACCTGCCAATTACACAAGAGTCAAAGGTATTCTAAATGGAGCTGGGAGCATGATGAGGCAGGATACAACACATCCCCAGAGTGCCCCATGTGCTGCCACGCAACACACTTAGTGTTTTTGGAAGGAATTCAGATAGAAGTTGACACTCCCTGGAACAGACCCTGCCAGCCAAGGTTGTGTGTAGATCCCATGCCCATCACCCACCAGCCATTAGTACCCCTGGAAAAGCCCAGCTTCCAGAAGGTATTCAAAGAGATTTGTCAGTTTAAAGCAATACAGAGATAAAAAAAATGCTACACTTTGAGCACCACCTCCACCCTGGGGAACCAGCTGCCAGGGATCAGAGCAAGGTGGCAGCAAATACTGCTGTTCTTGGAAGGGGAGGAGGACTGATCCTCAGCACAAGCTCGGAGATTAAGGATTTTAAGAGGTGGGTAATTGACTAATCAAGTTGATACAATTTATATTGACTACACGATTAGTCGATGGGGAAGGTGTTCTGTCCTGGCTCGCACTGATCCAGGAGCTACCCCCGCTGCAGTCTAAATGTAGAAGGAGCCACAGCCGTGCTCCTCCTACATTTAAACTGCAAACCCGCAGCAGGGGTAGATCCTCAACCAGCATGAGCCAGGACCACTGCAGCTCTGCATTTTAAATCTTACTGTATGTAAAATGCAGAGCCGCAGCAGTCCCAGACTGGCAGGACCAAGAAAAAAGAAGAGAGACTAAAGGAGCAGCTGGATAAAGGGGGAGGGCAGGGTGCAGACTTGACTCTCCAGACCTCAATTGCCAGCCCTGTCCATGCCCCTTTTGCCTCGCAAGCCCCATGGAGTGAGAGAAACAGCAGGAAAAATTACTGACACACAACCAGGCAGAGTAGGAAGGTTAGAGCTCCCCGGGGCTGGAGCAGGGTTTGCACCCCTTGCCTGCCTCTCTTCGCCTCTTTTGATACCTGTGCCTTCCCTCCCTTTGCCTCTTTCTGCGTTTGCAAACCCAGCGTCACCACTAGCAAATCTGCCGCTCCCAGCTTGCTCACTGCCTGTAAGTTCCCAATTGCAACCTACTTCTGTGCACACTTTGCTGTAAGCGAGCCCTGGTTGGGGAGAGAAGAAAGAAAACAAACAGTGGGGGTTCGGCTCGTTCCCCATGCGCCAGTGCAAGCAAACAAACCAACCTCCGTGGATTTGGTTAGCCAGGTACAGAATCAATAATTTAAACATTATAGCAAGTGTGAGAAATTTGTTTGCCAGGCTGAGGCGCAAGACGGGGCATTCATTTTGGGGGTTGTGGGGTTATTTAAGTAAGCCCAGGTCTGGTTTCTAATTCAGTTCGTTCTAATTTGCAGCATGTTTTTCTGCATGCAAGTTTAAAATGTATCCACTCTGGGAAACTGAAGTTGGGGCCACTTCAAATTAAAATCTGCCTCTCCCCTCCAGGCCCCGCTGGGACAAGGGTATGCTGGGAGCCTGTGGAAAACTCAGGCACCATTTCCATTAGTAAATGCCAATCACTGCTCCTGTCCAATGCAGCCATTAATAAATCCACAAGGGGTAGTAGAGCTAGGAGGAAAATGTCCTCCAAGAGCAGCCAGAGACCTTTTCCCCTGCTCGAGTCAGGAGCTAAGCAGCATCTCCAGCCCAAGCCACAAAATAAGGACTGCGACCTCCCAGCCTGAAGCCAAAAGTGAGCTCAGGCAAGGGAAGGGCTAGGGAGCCATTTTAAAGCCCTTCTCTGGGAACTAGCCAGTGCTAGAGAAGGGGAAGGAAGGAAGGAAGCAGAGGGGGAGATAACAGGCAAGCAAATGCTCCAAGTGGAATGCTCCGGAGTGCCTAGCCAGGACACAAGGTCTAAACCTGCCTTGCATGGATACCTTTGTCCTGCGTGTGGTGCACAGACACATGTGAGTATCACAGGGCCTATAAGCCCCCTTACTGTGTGATTTATATTGAATCTGCACTTATTTCACTGGCACCCCCTCTCTCCACCCAGACCCGGGAAATAAACATCCTTGGTTTGGTTCTGCCAATTTCCAGCTGTGCAGCACTCCCATTTAAAATGCTCCCCCCAGCACCAGCTCTGTTCCCTGCCCCTGCTGCCTCTGATATAGAGGCAGCTGGCAGGGAAGGGGGAAGCGAGTAGTCGACTTGACTACCCAATAGGCTCAGGCATATCAGATAGTTAGCTACTTGCTTACATCCATATCTGAGATGACAAACCTTAGAGCTGAGGGGGCTGGACAGAAACCCACCAACTAATTTCATATAGGCCACAGAACAACTCTCAGATGATATTGACTCTTGGTCCGACAATAACCTGACCTGATCTAGATTTCAACTGGCCCGTTAGTATGGAAAACTCTCTTGGCCATTACTCTGTTGTCTAAGCACGATCTAGAACTCCTGGAGGTGAGTTTTATAGCACCCCAAGCATGTGAATTTTTTTGCTGTCCTCTTCAAACTTCTGAAGATAAATGCCATATCTAAACAACTAGCCCAGTGTGTATTACATGTATCCAACGCTGGTTATTTAAACACATTCTAAGGCTTTTCTGACAAGACAACAGATGCAAGATTACTGTGCTTGTCAGTTCAGTTCCTTAGACAGAAATAGAGGTCCTTATTCACTTTCTCCACACCACTCTACCGTATCCCCCCTTAGTCTCCTCTTTTCCAAGCTGAAAAGTCCCAGTCTCTTTAATCTCTCCTCCTATGGAACCCGTTCCAAACCCCTAATCATTTTAGTTGCCCTTCTCTGAACCTTTTCTAATGCCAGTATATCTTTGAGATGAGACCACATCTGTACACAGTATTCCAGATATGGGCGTACCATGGATTTATATAAGGTCAATAAGATATTCTCCGTCTTATTCTCTATCCCTTTTTTAATGATTTCTAACATCCTGTTTGCTTTTTTGACTGCCGCTGCACACTGTGTGGACGTCTTCAGAGAACTATCCACGATTACTCCAAGATCTCTTTCCTGACTAGCTGTAGCTAAATTAGCCCCCATCATATTATGTCTCTAGTTGGGGTTATTTTTCCCAATGTGCATTAGTTTACATTTATCCACATTAAATTTAATTTGCCATTTTGTGGTCAGTCACTTAGTTTGGTGGGATCTTTTTGAAGTTCTTCACAGTCTGCTTTGGTCTTAACTACCTTGAGCAGTTTAGTATTGTCCGCACACTTTGCCACCTCACTGTTTACCCTTTTCCCCAGATCATTCATGTATATGTTGAATAGGATTGGTCCTAAGACTGACCCTTGGGGAACACCACTAGTTACCCCCTCCATTCTGAAAATTTACCATTTATTCTTACCCTTTGTTTCCTATCTTTTAACCAGTTCTCAGTCCATGAAAGGATCTTCCCTCTTATCCCATGACAACTTAATTTACGTAAGAGCCATTGGTAAGGGACCTTGTCAAAGGCTTTCTGGAAAACTAAGTGCAGGCAGTCCCCGAGTTACGCGGATCTGACTTATGTCGGATCTGCACTTACGAACGGGGCTTTCTCGCCCCGGAGCTTGCAGGCAGCGGGACCGCCCAGAGCGCAGCGGTCCTGCCACCTCGACCTCCGGGGCGAGAAAAGCTGCTCCGGGTGCCCCTGGTCTGCTGGGGACCAT